TGGCAACCTGTCTCTGGCCTGCAGCTCTGGGAGAGTTGCATCATAGGAAGCCAGTCCCAAGCCTGACGTTCTAGGAAAGCTAACCTGCTAATCTGCCCTGGTGAGCCGACCCAAGAATTCTACGTGGATGCTACCTGACGACTCCCCTGTGGAGTTTCCCTAAGAGGTTCCCATGTGGATTTCCCCTGTTGTTTCCCTGCAGTGAGCTGGAAGCTCAAATCCAGCCATCTCCCTTTCCCCGCACACACCCCAGCGAATCAATCCCCTGCCTGAACTGTGATTCATGTGCTTGTGCCTTTAATAAACTCTTTGGACTTTTTCCTGAGTCTCCGTGTGTGTTCTGCATGTTGGGCTTGCTTCCGTTTACCCATCATGACAAACCTAAGGTTAATGGATTTAATAGGACTTTAATAAATTCCCTTTTGGGGCCGACTATGATTTCTGGTGTGTACTCCTGATTGTATTTAGATCAATGAGTGTTGGGCAGACACCCACCTCTTTGTGTGCAGCCCTGTCGTTCCCGTCAGTCTCCAGAGCAAACAGCTTCTCGGTGAGCTCTACCCTCAGGTCGCTCTCCACTGAGCTGTAGTAATCACCTGGGCTGCTAGGCTGCAGATGGAAACATGCAAAAATGAGATAAACTGATTATGGCAAAAGGAGCCAAGGAGCACGAACAAAGAGATAAAATGGGAGGCCAGATGGAGTAAAATATGAGGTTCTACAAAGGCTCCATTCATGGCTAACCAGATTGCTCCATCCAAACTTCCACCCGGTGTTCTCACCAACTTTGCCCATTTTTACTCACCTCACTAAACTCACACAGAATAAACAAGGAAACAAACCCCATCAACCAGTGGCAGTCTTCAAACTATTAGGACTTCCAACTAAACAATCAGGCTATCATTATTCCTTCTCCTCCTCACCGTGGAGCAGCTGCTGAGGCTCGGAGTAGCGCTTCCAGGTGGAGGCTTCTGCTGCATGGTGAAAGCACCAGCCCTTAAAGGCATGTCGCCTGGAACTGAAGCTGGAGTCTGGGCTGCAGCGGCAGCAGGAGCTGGTTTCTGGCTCTCGCCTGTCCAAGATGAAGATCCAGGAGGTGGCATGGATGAAGAAGACACTGAGGGGAATGGTGCTGGCTGCTGGGATTCCTCAAACTCAGGACGACCTGAAGGGAAAGAGTCTTTTGTAGACAAGCTTTCATTTGCAGAAAAAGTAGAAATAGAAAAAGTCAGAGGTCCAAACCCACCAAAGTCAAGGGAAATGATGGTGTCTCCAGGTGTCGGAGCGAGCTGAGCCAGGTCGTCTGGCTCCTCTTTGAAGGAGGTGAAAAGGGAGTCTCTTCCCTCTGCAGTCATGCCTGCTCCTTCGGCGGTGAAGAAGCTGCTCATGTGAGGTGGCTTGAACATGGCCTCCGTCTGCTCCAGGGAGAAAATCACTGACTTCTCCTCCACGTCGCTGCACCACATGAGAAGATACCAGTGAGTTAGAACAGGAATTTAAGACTTTAGGGTCAGAAATTCTCTGCTAACGTGGCAGGAGCTGACCTCAGGACGTAGTTGATGCAAACAATGCACTGGGGCTGAGAGTTGCGGCTGTTGTAAATGACAGTTCCCTGAGTCTCCACCCAGACATAGCCTCCGTTCTTCGCCAGCATGCGATACTGACCGCTCACTGCCTGGCCCTTGGTGCACACTGAAGAGAGAAACGGATAGGAAAAAAATAAAACATGAGCAACTTCTTCTTGACACCAACGCGGATCTGTATTCAGCAATAGAGCTGCAGCTCCAAAAAAATAGTTAAAAAACGTCCTGTTTTGCGTTTTGCTTCAGATTCCCAACTGGATCTAATCTGATTTTAGCCCATAAAATGGCTTTAGTCAAAGTTGTTTCCCATAGCCCTTATGTCTGTTTAGAGTCTTTGTTTTCCTTGAGGAACAACCTCTGTCATAGAGACAAGCCTTTTGACCCATCTAGATTTATTTACCTTCCCTTAAGTTGAGACCTTCTTCTTGGTTTCTGACTGAAAAAAAGGCCCACAGCATAATCCCTCCACCATCCTGTTGTAACACGGGGATGTGTGCTAAGACAACCTTTGTGTTTTCTCTGGTGTATATCATTTTCCTCCCACCCTACCCAAGAGAGGAATTGTCAATTCAATTCAATCTAGTAGCACCAATTCACAACACATAACCTGTTAAGGTACTTTATTGATTTTCAGAACACATTGCTCCCGGGTGACAAGCAATTAAGCAGACGATCACTCAGGTGGCTTTCAAGTCAAAGGGATGAAAGAGAGCACCTACAGTTGGCCACATAAAAGCCGAGCCTATAGGCAGGTCTAGGAGAGAAACTAGACTAAACACTAAAAAAAACAGGCCCAACTCTGTCATCTATAATCAAAGGTGTTGCTGGCAGCAACTAAGCTGATATGTTCTCTCCAGGTTGGTGCTACAGCCCCACAGGAACAGACCAGGTGAAGCTACTATGACCAGAAAAAGCAGAGAGAATTTTCTGGATAATGATTGGTTTGTTGCAGGCTAGCCTCCGCAGTGACATAATTAACACATGTATGTTAAATCGTGACATCCTCTTTGCCTTCGACAAAAGTACCTAAAGGGGACGTTCCTGTCTACATGGTTTATGGCGAAATAGAAAACAGACTCACTTCTTCCTGGTTCTCTAAGAATGGCTGGATTTAGACAGAAGTTAAACTATACACAGAGGTGTGTAGAGTATGCAAACTTTTTACTAAAGATGGGATCTACTTTAACCTTTTTTTTTACTCAAGAAAAAGTGAAAAAAAACAGTCATCAGAGAGTGAAAAGCACTCAGTAAAATAGCTACTAAAATACTAAGTGATTGTATTTTGTACACAGTTTTTAGCTGTGCTACAAACGGTGCCACCTTGCTAGCCTTCATAAAACGAAGTCTCCCCTAAAATGTGAAAAAATAACATTTGTAAAAGGAAAATAAATCATGTCAAATATAAAATCTAAAATAATAGAAAACAGCAAAAATATATGTCAAACTTTGCATACCTATAATTTACACTTAAAAACTAAGGAGAGGTTTTTGAGAGTTCCATTTAAAAATACTCATTTTCTTTAAATGTCTTTTTTTTTAAACATTTTCTCTCCATTCTTGTGACATGGTAGAAATGTATTTGACTTTTCAAAATGTATATATATATATATATTTAAAGATGTGAGCTGACATTTTAGATGCATCTCTGCTTCCAAACATGAATCAAATTACTCAATTACCTCCTCAGCTAAGCAGACAGATTTTCACAATCCTGTAAATGACCTGATTATCTGCCTTTGTGGTGTTGAAGTAGTGGCTATTTTTTTTAGCACCATTGCCTTCAAGCAGGCAGGCGTTGGGTTTGATTCCCAGGGTCTTTCTGCATGGTGTTTATAAGGTTCTTCCTGTGCATGCATTGATTTACTCGAGCTTCCCACCACAATCCAAAAACATGAACATCTCTAAGTTGCCCTGCGATGGACTTGCAACCTGTCAAAGGTTTGCCCTGCCTTTCGCATGCACCAGCACCACCACAGCCCTAATGAATGAAGAGAGAGAAGGTGGATGGCGTGTTGTGGCAGAGACATGTCTAAATGATGTGGGAGAAAAAACACCAGGCATCTTCTTGGTTCAAGCTTCTTAGAAGTCATTTAACTAAAAAAGATGGAAGGACCATCTAATCGTGGACTAACAGGGCATTTAATGGACTTATTTCTATGAAATTATACTTTTTTGAAGAAGAGGAAGAAGAAAAATGTCCTTTATTGAAAAATGTTTATAAAAAGTATTTGCTCAGACAGTTTGCTCAACGTGTACCAGTCTGTATTCCCCTGGTTTTGACTAGCTCCACTTGTTGTTAAGGAACCTACTGTATTAGTGAGACACTCAGTCAAACCAGCATAGTGTTTACACACTACTTATTCCATGCAAGTTCAACTAAATAAGCCTCAAATTTTTGACTGCAATGTGACAAAATACTAATAGTTAGAGGATAATAAATATTGCTTCAATGAAGGGTGTGTTAGAGAAATAAGGTGTTTAATATCCGAGCAGAGCAAAGAAGTTTTATCAATAGACTTTATACATGAGCTGCAGAGAATGTTGGGATCTGATTAATTAATCATACAGGAATATCAAACAGTTTCTTAAAAACTGATTCTGATCAATGACAACAGCCAATGGTTTTAAGTGTGAAGTGTTTCATAAATTATAACTGTCCCTGCATTTCTTAGCACGGCTAAGCTGGATGTTTGACTTCAGGCTGAGAACGAATCCGCTGGCTGTAGGCCAGGGTTCAGCGCTGGCGTGGGAAAGTAGCGCCACTGGTCAAGGAGCTCACATTAGGCTGCTGACACTTTGTGTCCGTGTGTCTGAGTGACTCCCTGAGGAAGTTTGGATGTAGCGGGGGACGTTGCTTCATGCTGCTGATCAACAGGCTGGTCACGTTGGCCGGGAGAGCGGTACGAGCCGGTTTTCTCCACGTGCCTTTTATATGTCTGTCTGCAGACAAAAAAGGAACTCGATATATCGCTGCGACTATGATCCAATGAAATACATCGGCAAAAAAAAATTCCATTTGTGAGCTATGGAAAAAAAAGCCTTATTCAAACACTGCATTTGACAAACCTTATTTTTTAAGACTAAAATTTGCAAACAATAATAAAACAGCATGAAAGCAAAAAGGAAACCATTTTATTTCAAGGAATGCTGTTTGTTTGCTCTGAAACCTAATAAATTTCATAGTGTAACTGGAAAAAAATGGTAGACTTCAAACTTACAGATAAAATATGTGAGGGACAAAATGGCTTTTCATACGGAAGAGGATTAGGGCCAATGAAAAAATCTAATAAAATTTACTGATTTTTTCATTTTCTTTCCGTATATGGGAAAAAGTCAGGATTCTGACATTAACCTCAGAATCCTGCCTTTTTTTTCTCTGAATTCTGACTTTTTTCTCTGAATCCTGACTTTTTTTTCTCTGAATTCTGACTTTTTTCTCTGAATTCTGACCATGAGGGAAGAGATGTGTACCGAAAAGGATTAGAAGTAGGGCCACTAAAAAATAAAAAAAAATTAAACTGATTTTCAAATTTAGTTTCGGTATAATATGGGAAAAAGTCAGAATTCTGAGATTAAAGTCTTAACTTTAATCTTAACTTTTTTTCACATATTATACTGAAATAAAGTTTAAAAATCAGTTAACTTTCCTTCATTGTTTCAGTGGCTCTAACCCATGATCAAACATGAATAGAAAGCAAGATATTGACAAAGGTGTGACTATTCACTGTTGTTATTGCTATAAACCTAAATAGATTAAATAAGCTAAGTTATGTACTGTTTCTATCAAAAAAGAAAAAAGCAGATCACATGTTCATTGATGATGTTGCAGAGCTTTTCTGTTTGGAGCGGCTAATGATACCGTTCTGTCAGCAGAGAGAATATCCATGACACTTCAGATCATCGCTTGAACACAGATGCGCACAAACAGTGTTATTAGATGGTAATAGAGGCCACCTGGTCCCCTGTCCACCACGTTTGGGCTCATGGGACCAGATGAGTGCAAACCTCATCAGGCCATCAGTGGCTTGACTTAATTTGATAAAAGACATCTTAATACCCCATAATGCTCCTGCTCTGCACACACACACACACAACAAAAAGAGTGGGATGCATGGATAGACCAAAAATAGATAGTAAGTGATCATATGCAGCCTGTTAGCTACACCTGACTCACATTTAGTCCCTTGCTTTAACACATTATTTCATTGGATAAAGTTTTTTACTGAAGCTCCTGTCATTCAAACCACCTTGTTCTGCCCTGATCTTAAGGCTAACATCTCACTTAAAAACATGCTAACATGTTGTACAAAGAGGTGACTTTTAATATGAACCACATGGGCAGCTTCCCAGGGTGCATTAGGGGAAGAATGTAGGGGAAGCACAAACAAAAGACAAAAAAAAACAAAACAAAAAAACGTTTTATCTTTAAAAAACACCCAAAGAAATGATGGAATACATTTTCCTCTGATGTGGAGGAAAGTGGACAATGAGGGATGATGTTATCCCACCACATGAACTCAAATTACTTCCAACATTTTGATGAGTCGGTAACGTACACGTAAATCTTTTTTCGCTATTCTATCTTAAAGGAACATTTGGTAACTTAATATAAAAATATGTTTTATATATTAGCTAAAACTGTCACTATGGCCTGATAGTAGAATATAAGGCAGAAAATCTGTGAAAAAAATTAAGCTCCTCCTCTTAGTGGAAGAAGAGACGTCGTACTAGAAGGAGTGCTTCTTCAAATTTTTACACCAAGTCAGCGGCTTCCTAAAAACTCCCTACTTTGGCTTTAAAAGTGGGATCTCCAAGTTTAACTCCTCCTGGCCAGTGAGTGGCGCACTCACACTCAGCAGCTTGTGTTTCACACTGTTTGGTAGCAGGTCTGCAAACATACAGCTAAGCTGGTGAGGGGGGAAAAAAACCTCTGCATCCTTCTGGGCTCCTTTGCTTCCCTTAATCTGTAGCAGCAATGAAAAGCTCTGCAGATATCTGCCCTCGTTTTGGTTCCTTTTTCTTGTTTTTGCCTTAAATCTGAGTATTATAATGGAGACAGGAAGTAGAGCTACAATGATCTGGGAACAGCTGAGCTCCGTCTCATGTTGCTTCTTTCCATGATTCCTATTAGTACAGAATACTTTTGTATCAACGCTGATTCGTAACCAGAACTAAACATTTATAGATTTTAAACCAATCAAAATTAATAAACAGTTATTTAAATACTTTGGGTTTTTATTGAAACTAATACTTTTATTCTGCAGCACTCTATACATTCTTTAGATGCATTATTTAACCAAATAAATCATTTTGTTAAAAACAAAAACAAACAATAGATATACCCAAATAAATTAACAAAAAAAGGGGAACAAATTACGCTTCTTGCTCAAAAGTAAATGTTGAGTTGTGACCTTCATGACTTACAGTTGTGGTGGCTCTTAGTGACGCTGTCTGAGTCCAGGGCGTGGTAGAACTCGTAGACCGATCGACCCAGCAGGTCCTCAGGGGAGTAACCCATCAACTCTGTCACTCTGTAAAACACACATTCAATCACATTATTACTCTCTCATTTTAACAGCACTGTTGTGCCATGTGCCATGATCGTGGTTTTTGACGTGAGAACCAGTGTCCGTGTCTTATCTTGACATGATGACCGAAGAAGAAAATACAGTTTTGGCAATTATATAGGGTTAAGACCTCTGCTAAGGATATGTCTTTTGATGATTTTGATCATTTAATGTGTTTACTGATGAGTAAAGACAAAGCTAACAGGATGGACTGCATGCTATGCTGTCCTACACTAATATGTTTTGAGCTGTTGTTGAAATTTGGACAAGCTTTATTTCACTAAGGGTTCAAACACTGATATAACATTAGTGTTCATGTGTTCCTCATATGCTCGTTACATTTCCATAACCAGGAGACCAAGAGTCATTTAGTGGAATCCTGATGTCTAACTTAGTCCTCTTTGTACATAATAGTTTAGTTTAGTTGAGACTTTGAGTTAAGAGTTTTAAACTGAAATATGTTTGACTTAGAGCTGAATGATTTTTGTTAATAAACTTATATTTTGAACAGAAGATGTGATGAATGTATTCCATGTATGTGCAGAATGAACTGTTTGACCATAAATCACTCTTTCATCTATTGTTCTAACACACAGCTAGTAGGGTGTGTGTTCCTAAACAGTATATAACAGCTGAAATAATATCTGATTAAATAAGATATTTGCCACCCCTACCTGGGAGAGCAACAATCATCTTGAAATATCTAAAATATAAACTTGAATAGAAATGAGAAAATTGAATAGAACAGTTATTTCACAACATAAATATGGCATCCAACCTGGATTGGCATTTAATATAAATCCACAACACCACTCTCAAATCCTGCTACTCTCCTCTTCAAAGGACTTGCAACCTAATTTAGAAAAGAAAAATCCAACAGATTGGTGGAATATTCTCCATCAATTTGTCCACATTCTCTGCCTCTGATCACTTCTAATGCTAATGGGAACAGTTCATTTGACTCTCATCACGAGTTCATCTCGTTAACCAGGACTTTGCTAAGAGCTCAGTGATCCCAAAAGGGGGAAAAAATCCTTCTTTTCTTTTACTCCTTTCCAGGGATTCTTAAACACATCAGAATCAAATAAGGCTTGAAGGAGAACTACAGGATTAAAGAAATAACTTTAAAGATTTAAGCTTAGGGCCCCTTTTGTCAATTTAAAACCATTTCTAAGGCATTTTATTATGATTTTATTTGATAAATCAACACAAACAATTGTACAATTGCAACGAGGAGGAAATATTCAGATAAAATATGTTTTTAAACAAAATTACCAGTTATCAGCCATCGCCTTGGCCCCTATACCCTTAAATAAAATCCATTGCTGTAGTAGATTAAAGTAAAACACCACTGGAGGGAAAAAGGCATCACCACAAATCCCAAAGGAGTCTACAACCCTTACTCTGACACTGGGTCAATGCCAGAGTTAACCAGCAACAACGTTTTCATTTTAAAACTAACAAAAGGTTTGGTGCCAGTGATGATAGAGTAACTGAGTAACTTTATGAATAAAGTAAAGTAAGTGTAACTAGTCAGTTTTTACCAGTAACTAGCACAACACTGATGGAGGCAACATCCTCCTCTGGGGATGTGTTTGTTTAGCTCTGACAGGATAAACTGGGAGAAAACGGAGGCAGATGTTCGCCTTCCAGCAGAACAGCCATGAACATCCAACCAAAGCTGGGATGGAGGGATTTCCATCACAATATATTGAGGTGATAAAATGCTCCTGGGAAAGATAAAGGCAAAATCCAAATGGGTATCTGAAAAATGGCTATTAAAATACTAATATTAATATAATAATAATATATCAACTGAACACAGTTTAAAAGACTTAACTAGAAATAATTGGAGAGAAGGATTTTCCAGGGTTTGAGACATAAATGAGCAGCTAAAGGACCCAAAGTTATGCTGGACGCTTATGTTGTTTAGCAAGTTTACAGCAAAAATTACAGATTGCTCTTTTTTACAACACTCAGCGATCTGGATTGAAGGAATTTTTCGAAGACAATTGTGAGAAAAGAAAATGAGCTAATCGGAGTAGGCCTGCACTGTCTGAGAGCTTTATAGGTTTTTCCTTTTTTTTTAACTATGCGTCATGTTTTCCTTCCACTTGACTCATATCACACTTTATGTTAGTCTGCTTCATTATACTAGAATGCATTTTGTTGCTGTTAGATAATAAACAGCTTTGAAAGCTCACTGATGTTAAGCAGTGCATAAGAAAAGGACATAATAAGTTAAATATTTGACAGATAATTTTATCCAGCTCTGGCTAAACTTGTGGTTTTCTGCAACGAGTTCGTAACATAAAAATCAGTTTGGGGTTCTTTTTCTTAATTGTCTGACTTATTTCCTAGCTCTTTGGGTAATTTTGAAGGCTGCTGTAAATCAAAGCATCAGGTCAAAGGTCACTGGAGGAAGAGGCTCTTCCCAAAATAAGGACCCTCAGCAGGAAGTGACCTGCTGAACCGAAGCCAAAGAGAAATGCAAATAATAAAGACTACAGGCACAGAATCTAAAGGAGAGTTTAGAAGCTAAAGGAAAAGTCTCATGGAAAGGCTTTGATTTTAACCATTTAGGATTAAATTCTCTGACACATGACAGACTGTTCAATACAGAAATCAATCCTCATTTCTTGAAACTTTTGTTTTTATCCCAATCTCAGATGTCTCTCCATATCCATTTAAAAGTTACATATAAAGCAACTTTTTTTTTCTCACCATGGTATTTACCTCCCTTGTCGTTTTGACCCACAGTTGAATTCCTGAAATTCCTCAGTAAAGAACAGGGAAAAGCGAAGATGAATTTTATATGTTATTTTGAGCAGAAGTGTTGTTGGGGGTCTGTCTTATGGGTGAGAAATGGCTGAAAGGGGCAGAAAAAAGGAAGGGTCAGAGAGGAAAGATTAAAGAATTAATTAATGAAAGAATAAAAATATAAACCATGTATGTTTATCTTCTTACCCCAATGTCTTAATATTCTGTGGTATATAAAAAAAACATATTTAATCCTAATCTAGTTGAAACAGAAGATATTTCTTCCCAGCGTCTCCATTTATCCTATAAGAAACCACAACTTTTACATAGAGATGCACGATATAATCGGCCCCCTATCGGATATCGGCCAAAATCCCAATATCGTGCATCCCTACTTTTACACATTTAAAATTTCAGCTTTGACATTTTCAACATGTGAATATTAAAACTGAAGATGAAACAAAGATTCAGAGAGCGACCTGAATAAGCTCTTTACATTTCCTGGCCTGACCAGTGATCAGCATAAGCTGAAAGAGTCTTTTTCCTAGTAGAAAAATCACCGCTCTACAGTAGGAACTATGAGCTAGCTAACGCTAAAAGCTGCACTCTTCAGCGTCAGCTATTTTCAGTATCAGCATTGAAATAAAATGTGATGAAGCACAGCATTGTAAGACACTGTAAAATAATAAGTTGTTTTTTTTCTACTTTTTGTTGGCTGATTCAGGCTGCAACAAAAATAACAGGAAGGTTATGAATGGAGTACAGCAAAGTCATTCTTTTTTTTTTCATCTGTTTGAGATGTCAACCCCTGACAGTTATTGGTAGCCATTATGGTGAATTCCCATTAAGAGGAACGCAAGAAGTTTACATTTTAGGAGCTAGCTAACAGTCAGTGAAGCTAAGGATGTGATTGGCACAAACTGGGTGAGCATTATACACCGGATATACGTTGAAGGAGTTTTGTTTATCGGTTGAAAACTCATTGGAGGTTGATCTGCCCGCCTGCTGCAGTACAGCAGCTCCTGATCCTGGGTCCTGGACAGAACAAAGGTCAGGAGAACAGACCAACGGTCAAGTGGATTGATGCCCCTCCTATTTAATGATGTATTGAAGAAAGCAGGGTGGAATTTTATCACAGCTGTTTCTGAGAAGGAGGCAAAGTATAAAAAAGAGCAATGACAAGCGATCCACGTGCTAAATTAGTGACATTGGATATTTTTACAATTGAGGAAGGAGACCATACAGAGACGGTTATTTCTGCTAGCTATCTAGCTCAGTTAAAAATGTTTTGTCTCTGCTATAAAAACATTTTGAAAGGATCAGCAAATTAATACAAAGAATCTTTATTTTTTTCCGTTTTGAGCTTCCAAAATATTTATCCATTAAATATATATGAGAATTTTAAATGTTGGTGTTCAGGCTCTTTTTACAAAAAGTCAATCAATAAAAAGTTAACAACATTACCAGCAATACCTGCAGGTGAAAGATTGGTTTGAAAAAGTTATCCAAAATCCTTTCGGAAAATCAAGAAGAAGGACTCAAATTAAAACAAAATGGACACAAGTAGAAAAATCTATTGGTGAGATCTTTATGATCAAAGGGTTGTTTTCTACGGTTTAAAGGGGGAGTGTTGGCCTAGTGGTCAGAGCAGTGCACTGTGCTCTGAGCAGTTCCCGGTTCAATCCCCACAGCCTCCACACTGCTCCCCGGGCGCCGCACAATGGCAGCCCACTGCTCCCCAAGGGGATGGGTTAAATGCAGAGAGGTAATTTCTCCACTGTGAGATCAAAAAAATTCAATTATTATTAATGGGCCAATTAGCAGTGTCACCTGAATACAAACATTACAATTTTCAAAAGTCAAAACATGAAATCCCTGAAACCATCTTGAGACATTAACTTTTCTTTGCAGGTTTGTTTTAAAAATTCTCAGTCATATTTGGGGCTAGATTTTTATAATGTTAAAGCTTGTAACCTTCAGTGTTTTAGGTCATATCCATGTAAATGTAACTTTTTAAACAGTTAAGAGTTTGTTTGTTTTTAAAGGCAGGGTATCCAATGTATGATCACATGAGGAAAAACCCTACCTTCAGATGTAGACAGTATGTTATCCTTGGTGCAGGAAAACAAAAACCAAAAACAACAAACCCTGGTTGACACTGTGCAAGCTGAGCAAACTGAGGACTTTGGACTTGTTGCTTCTTG